TATGTGTTGTAAATCCTAACTTCTATGATGTTAATGAGGCAGGATTAGAAGCAGTTATGTTAATGAGGCAGGACTTAATTTACAGGATTAGGTTGCATTTTGAGTCAATCTCTTTTGAGATATAAAAGAGAGAATGGAGCAGAGAGGAGAGGGACCTCACTACCACCAAGCAAGAAGAGCCAGGAATGGAGCACGTCTTTTGGACCCAGCATCCCTGCACTGAGAAGCTCCTAGACCAGGGAAAAATTGATGACAAAGACCTTCCTCCAGAGCCAACAGAGAGAGAAAGCCTTTCCCTGGAGCTGGTGCCCTAAATTCAGACTTCTAGCCTCCTAAACTGTGAGAGAATAAATTTCTTAAGGCCATCCACTTGTGGTATTTCTGTTATGGCAGCACTAGATAACTAAGACATGATACAATTTGAAAAAACTGATATTAAAACATTATGTATAGTATGACAAAAAGAATATAAACCAAGATATTAACTGTTTTTCCTTGTTAGTGTTGAAATCATAAGTGGCTCTAATTTTTTCTATATTTCCCCAAATGTTTAAAAAGAATACTTACTACTTTTATTACTTAAGACCACAATCGATGTTGTTAAAATAAATAGAAATTATTCCATTTGCCATATTTATTCATAACTATGTGCCAGCACCTTGCTACTTGGAGCAGAGTTGAGCAACAGTGTAAGTTCATGCAGGAAGCATCAAATCACATGCAACAGTGAGGCTTGTTGTTAGTTGCCATTCAGTCCATTCTGACTTATGGTGACCCCAAGTTTGCAGAGTAAAACTACTCCATAGGGTTTTCAAGGCCATAATCTTTCAGAAAAAGATCACCAGGCCTGTCTTCTGAGGTACTTCTGGGTGTGTTTGAACCTCTAACCTTTCGGTTAGTAGTTGAGTGCTAGCCATTTGTGCCACTGTTATAGGGACTCTATAACAGTAAGGGAGAGGGACGAAATTCAAAAATCAAATTTTCAGCTCTATATACAAATGCTAGGTAGCATCTTAAATTTTTTTCTAGACATCAAAAAAATGTAAAATATGTTGAAATAGCAAATGTTTTGTTACAAATACTTATAGTTACCATGGTAAGAAAAAACAAAAAAACACCTGGCACAGGCGTTTTTAGCTATCCTACCTTCCTTCATATGGTAGGCCAGGCATGGAAGGGGTGTGAATTAACAGGTTAGCTTAGAGAATCACCTGAGACCAAGAGGAATCAGTCTCAGCAGTTTTAGTATTTGGAGACCATGTCGTTAAACCCAAGTCCAGTCTTAAACATAGGCAGTGGTCACTTAGGAAGTCTCAGTAACTTCACGGTATCCCCTTCCTCAAAATACTATCTCATGGTCACCATTTCAGTAAAACATGTTCTAGGAAAGAAAGACAAAGGGAATCCCAGATGAATGCAAATGTAGCCTATATCAGTAGTTCCAATATCCAGCCAGTGATTAGAATCTCTTGGGGACATTTATTTTAAAATAGAGATTCTTAGGCTCTACCCATGTAGATACTCTGATGTAATAAACCTGGGTTGGGGCCAGGGAATCTGCATTTTAAACAAGCTCTATAGGTGGTTCTGATGATTGGCAGACAAGGTATTAGGTGTGTAATGGTTAAACAGAATTGTCTGCTGAGCTAGGGCAGCTGGTGTTGTGTCACATCATCCATATTTTTGCCCCATTTGGGGAAATCTGCTCAGCTTAAAAGACAATCCCTTAATTAACGTTGGTTAGTTGATTCCCTTGGTTCCTAAATGCAAAGAAACTGGAAATGTATGGCCTAAGTGCATAACCCCTTTATAGTTTTCTGTGTACAATCAGTCTTAAATTAATTGTATCACAAAATATATTATAGTTCTCTCTCCATATTTGGGGTCAAAAACTTTCAACTTATCTATTATCTTCATAAGGTCATGAGTTAAATAAAATGTTTAGATACTTTTGTGTATATTGGGAGAAGGTACCTTATTATTATCTTCAGAATTATGGTGTTTGAATGGGTGTCACAGCCCCTCACACGGAGCACCATCTGTTGCAGTGGCGGCGAATGTCGGGACGGCGGAGACAGTAACCAAACACAACTCTTACAGAGAAGTGGGGCCAGGAGGGTCACTCTGAGGAGTCGACCCCGGCTTCAGTCCCAGGAGTTTATTTATAGTCAATACAGCAAACAGTGAAGCAAATAACAGAACAATGGGCTTTGGGTGCGGGCAAGGGAGAAGGAATTCAGGTAAACAAGCCAATCAGTAAAGGGACAATAGGTTTGGGAAAACAAGTCGTGACAAGTCTCAACATGTTGGGGACAAGTCTGAACATGCTGTGCAGCATAGAGGCCTGTGGGGGCTGCAGTTGTCAATAGTGAAGCCACGTTTAAATGGCATATATCCCCACAAATGGGCAAAATCAGATAAGTAGAACTCCTTACTGAATGATATCTTAAGAAGGCTTATTCTTTCTAGACAGACTTACATGTTACATATTACCCAAGAGTGCTCTGAGTGTTTCTGCTACTTGTATATTAACTCAGAGTTGATGATGCAATTACCTAGTTTATATCATCTAAACTAAATCTGTGGTTTTACTTCCATCTCTAGGAATTCATTAGTTCTTCTGTGTGTTCACAGAGGGTTGGGGAAGGTCTGACATATAGAGCTCTGGACTGGGCTCCTGCCACCCCCCACCCAGCCTTGACTCAATAGGCTTTTGATACTCTCAGCCTCACCTCAAAAGCTGTACTTTCATGTATTTTGCATATTAACTTTCTGTGTGTGCCTTTATTGAAAAATGGGTTCTATGTATTTCAAATAGTGATATCCAAGATTTTCATAAGGAGTTCTGGTGGCACAGTGGTTAAGTGCTCAGCAGCTAACCGAAAGGTCAGCAATTGGAAACCACCAGCCACTCAGTGGGAGAAAGATGTGGCAGTCTGCTTCCATAATGATTACAGCCAGGGAAGAGCTCTACTCACAGGGTCCCTATGAGACAGCAATGGGAAGATTTTCATAATAGGTTTAGTCATTTTCTATTTATTGAAAATCCACCTTTCTAACAGGCTGATTTTGATATCAGTGATGAATAAGGATGAATAAGGAATGGCCTTACTCTACAGCTCATAGATTAGTGAGGGAGAAGGGTGTGTAAACAGTTAGGTTATAAACGTTAATTTTTGAAAGGGGACTAACATTGTCCAAAGGGCTCAGAAAGGCTCACTGGGTGTTGGCAGTTAAGAGGAGGCTTGAAAATGAGTAACAATTGGTCAGATGGTATTGGGGGAAGGTGTAGTTGGCAATAGGAGCACCATATGCCAAGGCAGAGTCCCCGGAGGGCCTGATCTGTCCTGGAATGGTAGAGCATTCACCGTGACAAGAAGGTAGGTGTGTAGTGACGGGAGCAGGAGACAGCACTGGGACCCAGTAGTAAACCATTCTGAGGCCCAACTGAGAATTCTGGATTCTTAACATATAGATAACGAGAAGTTAACATTAAGCAGGAAAGTGACTTGGTCAGAGTTTTCTATTTTTAAGACAATAAATGTGATGACAGAATGATATATGGAGTAGGAGTTGGGTGGGGAGGAGATAGACTTACATGTTACATATTACCCAGGAGTGGGACAGTGGAACCAGGTAAAAGTTGAAGTTGGATTTGAGGAGCTATTAAGAGAGCAGCAGCATTTCCAAGATAGAAATGAAAAGAATTAGGGCCTGCTTAAACACAAAAGATAAGAGAAGTTTAGAGAAATTAAGTTCAGAACAATAAGTCTCCATAAAAATCAGCAAAGATAGGCACTTGTGAAGGATTTGGAATGGAGAAGAGAGGAAGAGGCACATGAAAGTTTTTCAGTCATGGCAAGCAAACATGTGGGCAGACGGCAAACGTTAGGTTTTGTGGCGGCCTCCAAGCATTCTCTCAAAAATCAGCTTCTTAAGTTTTGAAGAAAAATGTGATTATTGGCATCTGTTTCCTGGATCTATGACCCTTTGATTCTCTGGAAGCTTGCAATGCACCTGACAGTGTCAATGACCTTCCCTGACCTTCACTTTCCCAGAATTTCACAATGTTTGAAAGCATTTAATTCTCTGTATTAAATGCCATCCTACTTGGGGGAAAAAAAACAACAACAATGATGAACTGTGTATGCTACATTAGGGAAGGAAGACCTAGGGCCACAGGGTTGCTTAGGGCACTTGAAGAGAAGTGGTGGGAGAATGCAAAGTAAAAGAAATGCTGAGAGATGGCATACCCATTTTATAGGGAGAAGAAGGAAGAACAGAAAACCCACTTCCACTTTAGTTGTGATGTAACTATGCAAAAAGCAAAAATAAAAATCCAGTTGAGTCCATTAGGCTTAATAGGCCTTAATAGGGCAATAGGTACCTGCTGATTTCTGTTTGCCTATTTCACTAAAAAACAAACAAACAAACAAAAAAATGGTGCAGAGCTGATCTGGATTGTCTTTTTGGAATTTCTGACCCTGATGGGTGGTTAAGTGGCAGAATAGTGGCTTCTCCCAGAGTAAGATTTTGAACCTTCAAATGTTTAATGCCAGTTTAGCAGATACTTGAGATTGGGAATGGGCCCCTTTCCTTACAAGTTCAAAGCCTAACTCATTGGCTGAGTACATTACAAAATAAGAAAACATTTATTTATTGCAACAGAGATTGGTTTAATTAACACGTCTTTTTGAAAGTTTTCTGTGACAGATCTTATATAAATAATAGACTTTTTAAAGTGGGCTTTTTAAAATTAAGGTTTTTGTTGGCTTTGCAGTTTTTCTATAAAGATAGAAGATTGCTGTTCCTAATTTGAAACTTTTCATGACCAATTGGAATTGAAATTCTGAATACTGACCCTGTCCACAGTTTTCCTTTTAGTTTTAGTTTCTTCTTGGTGAGCAATAAAAATGAAGAATACAAAAGACAGTTCTATGCTACTTTTAATATCATTTATCCTAAATACCTTTTCCAAAAAATTACACTCACAATCTTTTGACAGTTTTTGTGGGATGTAATGTATGAAAGAAAATTCCAATAACATAATGTACAAAAATGTTGTCACATATAGAATAAAAATCTATGTTTTGGGGACTATTGCTGTGGGAAGAATCGCCTGATCTTCATAGATAACTTCTTCATTGAATACCATGACCCCTTCCAGTTCATCCAAACTACTCCATCATCTGTGCCGTGTTTTGCCATGTCCCAGCTGTACTGTCCACCCCAGTAGTATCTGCCATTTGGATTGGCAGCATGACATCTATTATACCACCATCCACCACCATCTTCTCTAGAACACCGTTTGTTTGGATCCGTAGTTATCCTGAAAGGAAATGTGTTTAGGGCTATTAGAAATAGAATTACAATGCTGAAATTTAGGTCTTTGCAGAGTACCCACAGAAGACTTCTACACTCAGTCATGTGTGCAGTATTCTTTCCCTTGGCTTCTATAAATAAAGTCATGCTAATACCCTAACAGTCTTTTCTTCCCTGTACCATGAAAAAGAGAGAAGAGGTAGGCTATGTGGCAAATTCATCTAGGGATTATGTTTGTTACTTCATACTGTAATGATAGCTTTCAGATCCCTTAGTATTAGTGATCCCTGGAAAACAAAATGAAGGTTTTAATATATGCATTAGAATATAGAGATATAGATAATTTTCTAACCATTCATTATTCAGAAAGTAACTGGTTTAATTCAAGTTCTGTCTCTCAGGAGTTGTACTACTTTGGGTAGATAACTTAATCTCTCTAAACTTCATGTGTAAAATAAGAATAATAATGCCTACTTTATAGCTGAAATGCCTAAGTGTGACATATAAAGAGCTTAGTACAGTGCCCAAGTGCCCAAGAAATGCTAGTTATTAATGACCACAGCCATTATAAATGATTTCAAGTAATAATATTAGTAGCGTCTTTGAAAGCAGGAGTGAAGAATGCAACACATACCAGGCATCGTTGTCTCTATCATACGTGCTGAAGTACATGCCATTGTGAATGGTCATGGTTCTGTTCTCTCCCACCAGTTGAGAAGCTCCGTCCATGAGGGCATTGCCAGCTGTTCCTTTATACTTGCTCACTGAGAGTTGGTATTTGTTGGCCTCATTCTGTACAGTGAATCCTCCATAGAGGGCCTTTACTTTATCTCCTTTCCAGTCTTCCATTTCAATCAAAAGTTCTGTGGATCCCATCTTGGTAAGCTGGCTAATTTTATCATTTCCAAGCCAATACTCACCTAAAGGTAAAAATGAAATAAGACCTCACCAAAAATAAAACCCTTGGAAACTAAAAAAAAAAACAAAATACAAAAAACAAAAAACTACCTTTCTTCCCTTATCTTTAGTGTTCACCATCTTTTGTAATTAAACTTCTCTTAACCTCCCCAAACTCCTGAAAATAGACTTCCAACACTTTGTTTTTTAAATGGGAAAAAATCCCCAACGATTTAAACACAATGATTTTGTTTTCAGTCCCAGTTTTACCTGGTAGGCCACAGAACTTCTTGCCATCTGCATTGATTGCAATATTTCCAAATCCTTGTTTATATGGATCCCATCTCCTACCAAAGTCAACACTACCATCTTGACGGTTCTGAATTACTGTCCATCCTTTGATTGAAGTAAACAAAAAGAGCATGTATTAACCTGTAACCAGTAATATCACTTTGAGGGGAATGTCTGAGCCCCTTGTCCATTCAATTTATTTTATGCTCACCTATATTTGGTACTCCAAAATAGATATAATAAGGAAATACATATGAGAGAAAAACTCCCAAAATCTTTGCAAGGAAGTGCTTTATCTCATCCCACATCGTGAATAATAGAAATAGATAGTTTACAACTTTCAAAAATATCAGAATGAGTTCCAAATATAACTTCTTATTGTTAACTACATTACTGTTAGCTTTTACTTATTGGCCCTTTATGGTATCATAATAATTACAGAATAAAACATCTACAACTATCAAAAACTTACCTCCATTTTCTGTGTTCATATCACAGTATACTCTATACGGTTTGATAGAACTGTCAGGCTGAATGAGATACATTTCAGATGTTTCACCTCCTTTCCTGATAATTTCCTCACATTCTGCAACCATAAGATAATATACTATTATTCAAGGACCTATAACATTATTATGTGGTCTTTACTCACCAATTCAATAACATAATAACTGACTATATAGGTTGCTGAGGAATGCTTTTTAGACATTTAAAAATAATACTATAGAAATTGGATCTTCCTATTACTGAAAACCAGACTCTGTTTTGAAGAATTCTTTCTGCCAGGGGAATGAAACAAACTCTTCTCCTTTTGAGCTCTGGGATATCCATAAACTTCTAGGCCATGGAAACACTTCTGCATCTAGCTATGGTCCTGACATCTGTTCAAGCAAGTGGGTACATATACACATCAGCCATCCCTAGACCCCCCACCATCATTATATTTCATCCTGCTCATCAAAAACTGACACAGGGATTGAGTTAAGTTAGAAAACAACATGCCAAGGATATCTTCATGATATTCATATCTGCTACAATGTCATTGGAGCCCTGATGGCACAGTGGTTAAGAGCTCAGCTGCTAACCAAAAGGACAGCAGTTGGAATCCACCAGTTGCTCCTTGGAACCCCTATGGGGCAGTTCTACTCTGTCCTACAGGGTCACTATGAGTTGGAATCGACTCAATGGCAATGGGTTATAATGTCATTATGAACCGTTGGGAAAATCCATTGGACTGTTTGTTTTTTTTTGTTCTCTTATTTTTAAGAAGGTGTGAGTTCTCCGGGAATCCTATAGAGATACATTTATTAACTAGTTTACCTTTGCCAGACACCACAGGAATATTGCAGCTAACAGTGCACGGTGTGCGACAGTATTCTATCTGAGCTGAGACATCAGATTCTAATTTTTGTATTTTGCTTCTCAGGTTTTCCAGGATTGAACGGAGAACACGGAGGTTAGTTGGGATATTATTATTCACAGTCTCATCTATATACAATTGGTGCTTTTCTATCTCTGAGGCGTACTCATTTATTACATTTTCATTATCTGGAAAAATGAAATTATATTAGGAATGGTTAGTATTTTCATCTCATAAAAAACTAAATATGCTCACCTACATGATTATGATTTGGATTTTCTGAGAATAAGCTAATAGACATCAAGCTACCCTCAGGCTGCCATCTTATTGCAATTGTATTTGGGAGAAATTATTTGATCCATAGCATATACAAACTAGCATGTAGTCTATCTACTATACTTATAATTAACCTTCGGTATAAGCCAAAAAGTATGCCCAATAATAAATACAATAGGTTCCTTATTTCTTTGTGAAAAAAGAAGAGAAAGCAGTATTTGGCTCTCTCATCTCAGAAATTCAACTTCTTATGACGTGGATGCATTCGATTTTCTTACACATCCCACATAAGTAGAGCAGAACATTGACATTCACAACTCTTTTGAAAAAATCTCCAAATCTGAGTATGCTACTAACTGGGAGGCCTATGCTAGGCTCACTCACTGATTCCTAACCACTAAGCCAATAGCACTCAACATTCAGATCTCAAGAGTCTAAGGTTAAGTATCATCATTCCCAATACAATTGAGTATATCATTGATTACTGTCTCGTAATCAAAACCTTGAATGTTAAATCTATAAATGCTAAAGTGTTACTCTGTGAATATTGTCTTCTGAGTCACAAGACAAGTTCCTTGGAGACTAAAAGTGAAGAAGAAATCACTGTGAAATTTTTCATAGAAAATCCTGCTTGCTAATGCTAAACTGTGAATGAGAGTTAAACAGCCCACAGTGGACAAGTTTTAGGAGAAGGCACCTAACTAAGGACCTTGAGGTAATCAGGCTCACACTGAAAGTGGTATGAATGTTATGTAGTCTAATCTAGAAATGTTAATCTTCTCACTTTCATGCACTGCCATGGCAGTCTTAACAGTTCCAATTTTATTACCGAGAACCAAATGGAAGACAGAAGGATATTTATTTACCTTTTACTTGCTTCTGCCTCTTTTGCCACATGGTTTTTAGCAGAGTAACGTACTGGAAGGTGGAAGAAGTGGTGTGGGAGACAGACTCCATGTCGTTATTTAGCTCATTGACACTGTTTCTGATTGGTCTTTCCTGTTTTACCAAAGTATCTTGTAACTGACATCCTGTAGGACACAATACTCCCTGTAAACAAAGAAAATACCAGGCATAGTTGGAGGATTTAGGTTATGGATGGATATTTCTTAAAATATCACAAGGTAAAAATCAGAGCTTCAAACCGGTTCATTTCAGTTGGACCCCCTGTTGAGAATTTTCATTTTCACCCCAAATATACTGAATCAGAATCTACGTTTTAACAAGATCCCCTGGGTGATTCTTATGTATACATACAAATCACCTGGGGAGCCGTAAGAATCACCTGGGGATCTTGTTACAATGTAGATTCTGATTCAATATATCTGGGGTGGAAATGCAAATTCTCAGCAAGGGGTCAAACAGAAACAAACTGGTTCAAAGCCCTGGTGAAAATTCAATGATATCATTAGTCAATATAAAAAGTTGTAATTTGATTTTCTTTATATGAGACCAGGAATTTTATAGTTATTATCATATTCTTATGAAGATCAGAAATATTCCTCACAACAGGAGAAATGTAATTGCTACAAAAATTGTATCACCCTCACAAAGTAAGTGGGTGAAACACAAAGGTAAAGGCAATACCCCCTCATGTCTTAATTAATGATCTTGGGCCCAGAGCAAAGACAACTACAAAGGAAGCCTAAGTCAAAGGCACAATAAGTTTATGCTTTGCATTTTATTGACAAAAGAAACAGACAAAACAGCAGTGATGGCAATATGGGCCAATGTAGCATTTGGAGACCATGATGGGTATAGGCTTTCTCTGTATGAGGGCCTGCTACTCAGGAAGCATCAGTGCACCCACCAGATCTGGATCGGCATGAAGGCAGCCCCCAGCGTCAGGGGCTTTCCTTTCCACTTTCTTTTGGGAACTGGCTGGTTTGGCTGGACGAGCCTGGTAGCCACCTCCACTAATGGGAGGTGGGGCAGGCCTCAGGCTGGGAGCTGTTTCCCTCCTCTTGTCAAGGGGTCGATGACCACGGGCACCTACTGAGGGCTTCAGGGAACCAGGTAGAAATAAAATGCAGGGTGTTAGAGAACATTTGAGATGTAATATTCCAACACCTTCATTTTATAAATAAGGCTATCACAAGCTTAATGATTTGCTTAAGCATCAAATGGCTAGTTTGTGTGGTAAATCAGTAGGTTCAGTAACAGTAGAAAGACCAACTGTGAAAAAAGCTATTGCACCGGTGATAGTTTTTAAAGAAAGGTCCTAAGACAAAGCTGTATCAGACTCTGAATAGTAATGGCATCAGATTCCTGAAACCTGTAAGTTGAACGCACAAAATAGTAAACTGTAAGATACTTGGGCAAGTTACTTTGTCTGTGCCCGAGTTTTCTCATCTGTAAAACAGGGATATTAATAGCTAGTATCTGCCTTGCAAGATTATTGTAAAGATTAAGTGGCTTACTGCTTATGATTCACTCAGAATAGTACCTGGCACATAGCAAGTGCTTATTACTATTATTATTATTGAAATCACACATAATAGATACTGTAGTTTAAATAGCATCTCCACTGCTAATTGCAGTTTGATTATTATCTTCTATCAATGAAATTATTTGATAAAGTATTTCTCATGAAATTTGTTACATAATTTCTTTATCAACACCATGATTTTCTTGTGTGTAAGATATGTGCAATGTCATTAAAGTTGTTGCTAACTTAAAAATATTACATTAAAAGATAAGAAGTAGAAAATATGCAATACAATCTAAAAATTTTGACTTGAAGTACCCATATTAGCATATGTTCTTTGTCGGTAGTTACACCCTTGGGCAAACAAACGAATGACTAGATTTGAAGCAGCACCTGAGCTCTCTTGCTATTTTGTAATCCTAGAAGTCATCAAATGACTAGTTGCAATTTTATTGTCATTTATTCACTGAATTATAACAATATTTAACATTTCGTGGGGATGCTAGGATTTAAAACCAGGCAAGTTGTCTGAACTACGCATCCTTAATGTGTGAAGATTTGGGGAAATATACACATCACATACTTCTAAGACATGGTCCCAGCAGAGCTCATCTGATCAACAGAAATTGTATGAGATGTGATTCACCTGTCTACTGCAAATCAAATCACAACATAAGAATAATCCTTTCCTTTTATTTTAGAGTACTGCTAGAAAGGTAGTACTGGTGGTCTGGCTTTACTAGGAAAAGGAAAAGAAGGTTAAAAAGAAGAAGAAGAAAGAAGTTATGTGGGCGTTTAGGTCCTTGAAGATCTCTTACTGAAATAACAAAAGCTAGAGAATCCACTTCATGCCTAAACTATTAAACTGTCTCTGTGAGGACTGGCTGGTGAGCAAGAATGTGAAGGCACTTAGCAAAGTCCTTCACAAAAGTTTACTCTTACACATTCTTTGCATTTTTCCTTTCCAATGCAATTAACCAGATAATTACATTTTTATATGCACCATCTGATAATTAGAACACTTTGGTTCCCTTCAAATTCAACAAATGATCCAAGGTGAATCACTGTATTTCAATATTATTATGTGTTCTTATGTCTACCATGAAGATACTATATGTTATATACAAGAAATTTAATTTACCTGATAATAAAATTTAAATATCTTAAATATTCATTTTCCCATCTGAATTTCTGTGTTTTCGATAACTTCAAGCCAATAGCAATAAGTCAGCTAAGATACTACTTGAGAAAAAACTGTTTTTCAAATGAATAAAATTAGACTCAACAATGTGTTTTGTAACTGTTAATAATCACAATAAATATTAGCACTGATTTAAATGTTCTCATCTGAGAAAAACAATAATTCATTTTCTGTCACTATACTTTATTCTGCTTTTAAACTTAGGTCATAATCCTCATTCATAAATAGCCAGTAATTTTAAGAGCTATCTGTTACCCTCCTTCACCAAAGAGCAGCCTACCCCAGATTTTTCCTTTTAATATAATTTTAATTATTTTATAGTCTGTAAAATTTTCAGATTTTGTCTTTATAATTGTAATGATGTATTGGTAGAACTAAATGAAAATCATAGTACTAAGGATAATAACAAGTGGGAAAAGCACATCTTACCGCAGCCACACCAACGTCCTCCTGGGAAAATAAAGGTGATAAACCAGAAAGAAAGAAGTTAGTTTTTATATAAGAAATACTATAAAAATTCTGTAAATAAATGGGTCCCTGAAATTAACAATTCAATTTCATAACTATAACAACTCCAATTACATTAAAATAAACATTTACATTTGATTATGGCTCTTATGACATTTTATATTAATACTACTAGTAATAATATAATAATATTTTAAAACAATCACCTCGTCTTCATCATCTGCGAGAGTGTGGGACTTAACTATAGAAACACTCAATAGTAGCAATAATAGAAGTTTCATGGTTTTTACTTTTTGGAAGTTCCAAGAAGCCATCCTTTGCCAACAGACTAAACAGAGAGATCTTCAGTCCTATATATACCTGGCTCCCCTGCTGGATGTGGCTCTGGAAATGGTTACCTTCCCTTAGTTAATATTTAGTCTTTCAGTTCACTTGTTGGATGAACGGTTTTATCACTTAAGCAACATCTTCCCAGCAAGACTTATTTACTTGTTGTATGACTGACTATTCCTCTCTGTAGACAGGATTTAGAAAGTCTAAAGTTCCTCAATTCATTTAATTGGACAAAATGATTGGAAATTAGGACATTGCTCATAGACATGTGTATCATATTTCTTGTAAATTAATGTGTATGCTTCAGAGGCTGTCAAAACTGTGTGAGAGAAAAAAAAGTTTAATCCAAGCACAAAAGTTGCTTCCATTAAAATTCTGAGCTTACTAAAGATGTACCATAAATGTTTATGTTTTAAACCTACATATAATTTGGTTTTATAAGGGGCCACTAAAATCAAGAGTAATGTTATAATATCACCATGTGTTTATCCTCTCTTTTAGAAATTTATCAAAATAAAAAATAACAATTTATGCCTTATGCTATGAGAGACAAACGTCAGAAGGAAAATGGCCAGATTTCCTTTTTTGCTCTGAGCAACTTTTGTGAGGATAGCACAGGACTGGGCAGTGTCTTGTTCTGTTATACATAGGGTCGCTATGAGTCAGAACCGACTCAATGGCACCTAACAACAATGTACATATTTTGTCCTTTATTAACGTAAGTTAAAATGTTCAGCAAGCTCTAAATGTTAGTGAAATAATTAGTAGAGTAACCAAAACCAAACTGTTGCCACCAAGTTGATTCTGACTCACGGTGACCCCATGTGTTACAGAGTAGAACTGTTCCACAGGGTTTTCTTGGGGGCAATCTTTACAGAATCAGGTCACCAAGCCTTTCTTATATGGAGCTGCTGGGTGGGTTCCAGTCACTACCCTATAGGTTAGCAGTCAAGTGCAAGCTGTGCCACCAGGGAAGTTAGTAGATTATAGATCTCTAAATCAAAAGTTTGATTATGGTGATTGGATACATAAAGCTGAGTGATGTATCTCCATATGAGCTTTATTGTTGTTACTCCAAGTTTTTGTTAACTTTGTTTTAAGTTAGTATTAGTGAAGTCTTCATATATTTATTTTAATTAGTATTATCACACACCAAATGCGGCCATTTCTCTTCTTCATTTCCTGTAAGCCACCAATACGTTTCTCTCATCTTTTTATTTGTTTGTTGCAATCAGAAGTAAAAACTCCTGCACGAATCAATAGGAAAACCAAAGTCAACAATCCAAATCCCGGTAAGTTTGTTGCTTTATAGCATTTTGTTTTTTGCATAGACAGTGACACATTCTCATTAAAACTTAAAAACTATTTCATTAGAAAGATAGCAGGTTATCCAGATTTGGGTCAAGAGAGTATTTGTTAAACAATGCTTTGAAGCTGAATCTTAATAATGGTATGAGACCAACTAAATTTCTTTCTTCTCTTGGTAGCATAGGCTACATTATGAAAAAAATTTAACTCAGATTTACGGAAACAAAGTATCAAGTTTAAGTTAAGAAAAACACTTGATTGAATTTTTCCAAAATTATGTCCTATTTATTAGTACTGAGTAAATAGTGTACTTTAAGATACTTTAGTTTTAATTTTTCTTAGAAGAATGTACAATCGGACTGAAAAAGCAAATATATGTGTATGTGTGTATTAATTAAAATAAGATGCTAGAATATTTCCCCTTCAAAATATAGCTGAGAAAGTTTCCTTAATAATCGACAGGGTATTATTTTAATGGTGCACAAATTTTTGCTGATTTAAAGAACTATCTTTTAAGAAGACCAGAACAAGGTTTTTTTCTTTTGAGATAACATTTTCATATCATTCTCTCATTTTCAAGCACTGACATTTCATCAGTTACAATTGAACCATGATTTAGTTTCCAGAAGTTTATTATTTTAGTTTCTTCTAGCATATAATAGAATCTTGCTCAATATTAAAATGAAAGTTCCCCTACACTCCCACTTTGTTCTGCTCTGACAGGCATTCTTGCAATTGTCGGAAGGTGGAAGGAAAACAGAATGCATGTTCTGTAAGGGCAGAGACTTACCATTCATCCTACAAATAATTCTTGAGAGCCTCGTACATAGCAGATAGTATGGTAGGGGCTGGGAATGCACTGGTGAGCAAGACAGGCATAAATATTTGTAGAATGAATGCACAGACTAGCTCCATCACCTTTGGCTAGAGGGTCAGGGTGCGTAACACTGACAGGATCACTAGACCCCATTCCTTTGTTTTAGGGGTCTTCCCAAGACAAAGGAGTGGTACTCTACAAGGTGTTCATTATACCCTTTGTGTTTCTGAGTGCCCATGTAACAGAAGCAGAAAAGCATCTGCCTTTTTCCTAGCTCAGTCATTTACATCTGTTGAAGAAAAAGCTGTCTTACTTATTAATTACTGCCATGCTCTATGTCAGCTCCCATAATAAAAGCAAAGTGCTATTTTCTAAGTCTATAAGCAGAACTTTCCACAAGAGACAGAGCTAGCCTTTGCTCTTCCTCCTTGCAATATACTTTCCCATTCAGAATGGCTAAGCATCTGCAGCTGTCACCAACCACAACTGGTCTCAGCCATGCCCATCAGAGCTCTGGTTCAGACTGACCTCAGAACTCTTCAGTATTAACTTCTCCCTGGACACTGGTTTTCAGACTTTAGCTCAGGATTACACAAAGAAAATACACACTGATGTTTTAGTAAAATATCTCAAAAGCTATGCCTATTCAGACAAAGAGAGTTCAATGTTTTATTTATTCAATCATTCACTCATTCATACATTCATACACTTATTCAACAGGTATTTATTAAATACATACTATATGATCCTTGGCGGTGCAGTGGTTAAGAGCTATGACTGCAAACCAAAAGGTTGGCAGCTCGAATCCACCAGCTCTTCCTTGGAAACCCTATGGGACAGTTCTATTCTGTCCCATCGAGTCGTTTTGAGTCAGAATCAACTCGATGGCAATGGGCTTTTTTTTTTTTTTTTTTTAATGTGGAGTTCCTGGGTGGTGGAAACAGTTAAGCACTCAACTGCTAACTAAAAAACTAAAAGGCTGGCAGTTCAAACACATCCAGAGGTGCCGTGGAAGAAAGACCTGATGATCTACTTCTGAAAGATCACAGCCATTGAAAACCCTATGGACTATAGCTCTACTCTGAAACACATGGGGTCTCCATGAGTCAGGATCAACTCGATGGCAACTGTTTTGTTTTTTGGTTAATGTGCCAGGCGAATGACATAAACCGTATAGTCATTCAAAGAATAAGATTCAAATCTAAAAGCTGATTAGAAAACCTAAATAAGTTTTAAACATCATTTTCTCAGGGGAATGTCCCTTTCCCTCGTGGAGGAGTTTCAGTCCCTAGGTTATTGTTCTGAAATCCCCCATCTTCTCCTATCTTAGGCTCATCACTTATTATTGTAAGGAACGATAAACTTTTCTGTCTCCCTCTATACATAAAGCCTCATAAGTGCAGGGCCCTTGGCTATCTTGCTCACCAAATTATCCCTGAACCTTAACATATTACCTGCCACATAATAGGTGCTCTAGTAATATCTGATGAACATACGTTACTTTTTTCTGTACATATTGGGCCTGATATAAATTGTAAAGGTAGCAACAAGTGCATTGACAATCAGTGCCCATAAGCCTTTGCCCTTCTCACCAGAGAACTGCTTGGCAGGACAGATTATCTCTGCTCTTCCTGTCACTGATTTACTGCCCTTGACTTATGTAACAGTATCAGCTAATACACAGAGTGCTGCACTATTGACCTGAAAACATAACTGAACAAATAGTACTACCTTTCCCCTCCACCAATGGCATCAACATTTTTAAAAATTCAAGTATTTTAGTAAGCAGAATTTTTGCAAATATATTTCATCTCTTTGAAGACACAATAGTATACCTTGTCTTTGTAATATTAGACACTTTAGAGTATTACTATAATTATACTTCAATTTGGGAAAAAAATATCCAGTAAGAACTAGAATTAAAGAAACTCATAGCTATTATCACTGCATTGGCCATGTGCCTCACACAGACATGAATATCAGCACCCACACCCATGTATGAGAGTGACCATGTAAGTGAAAGTCAGGGCTAAGAATGAACATGCCGGTCTGAGACACTATAGTCTCAAGATGATGAGCTTGGCAAAAATAACCCAAAACAACAAACAAGCAAAAAAGAAGGTACAGAAGAATTCCTTACAATGTTTCTATTTTGTTGGGTAATATGATGGGATGGAAAGAGCAGGGACTGTAGGGTCAGTCAGACTTGGGTGCAAGTCCTAGTACTGATATTTACTACCAGTATGTCCTTGGGTAGTTTACTTAACCTCTCAGAGCCTCAGCTTCATCATGTATAAAACTTAGTGGTTTCAAGAATTAAATAAGATAAACGATTATCAGAACTTGGCATCTGAGGCTAGTGCCAATGAAGGTTAGTTTATGCATTCATTCTACAAATATTGAGTGTCTACTATGCCTGTCTTGTTCACCAATGTATTCTCAGCCCCTAGCATACTACCTGGTAGACCCTTGTCATGGTTTGAATTATGTCCCCCCAAAAATGTGTATATCAGTTTGGCTGGGCCATGATTCCTGGTACTGTGTGATTTCCCTATGTGTTGTAAATCCTGCCTCTATGATGTTAATGAGGGAGGATGGGTGGCAGTTGTGTTAGTAAGGCAGGATCTGATCTACAAGACTGGATTGTGTCCTGAGGCAATCTTTTGAGATATAAAAGACAGAAGTGATCAGTGAGACAGGGGGACCTCATACCATGAAGAAAGCAGTGCCAGGAGCAGAGCGTGTCCTTTGGACCAGGGTCCCTGAGCAGAGAAGCTCCTAGTCCAGGGGAACACTGAAGAGAAGAAGGCCGACAGAGAGAAAAAGGCTTCCGCTGGAGCTGACGCCCTGAATTTGGACTTTTAGCCTACTTTGACTCTGAGGAAATAAACTTCTCTTCATCAAGACCATCCACTTGTGGTATTTCTGTTATGGCAGCACTAGATGACTAAGACAGAATTTGGTACCAAGAGTAGGGTGCTGCTCTAACAGATACCTAAAATGTGGAAGTGGTTTTAAAACTGAATGGATAGACGTGCGCCAGTGACAGAGGACCAGCAGCAGCAGAGAAGAAGCAGCAGCAGAGAACCAACAGCAGCAGAACCAGGCGACCAGTGCGAGACAGCACTGGAGCCAACCCACAGAGCGAGAGAGCTGAGTGCCTGTGCGCAGCAGGCTTCCTGGCAGAGTGGGGTGCCTCCGGGTACTTATAG